ATATTTCCCATTTTTGTACGGCAAACAAACACTTTAAAATTACGAATCATCCTCCTCCTCCTTTCTCTTACACTACCACAAAATATGACACGTGAATGAAAGCTTTTCTCATTTGATAAAGAAAAATGTGTAACCTTAAAAGTTATCTCTTAACATTAACATACGTCAAATCGATCATTATAAATCAATTATCATGGTAAGTGTTTCCAATGTAAACGTAATCTTACAATTTTATCAAATTTGACACTCGTCATGCGTGTAAAATTAAGGTGTTCACTTCATTTACTTCATCTTAAAACAGAGACGGGCAAATGTCAGCGTAATTCTCTTTACATACTCAATCATAGCCACTGAAAAACAGTGATGCCAAGTTGGCGTTTTTCCGATACTTGTGGTGATTTTTAAGGGGTAGCGATTTTTATGTCAAATTGTTTATTGTCATCACTTTTAAATCAAACGATGTGTAGTTGATCTGTATGTGTTCGAAAAAATAAAAATATTTTAAAAATACAATACCAGAAATCGATTTGGACACTATAAACAACTCTTAAATTCATAACAAGTAAAAAAACTGTAAGTTCGGTCGTTTAGAACGAATTCGGCAATTTTCAAAAACTTAAAAATTCTGTTAGAATTTTAAAAATACCGAATGTAGCCGTTATATAAGCGTCTATACGACGACATGGACCTGCACAGGCATCTTTTGTCATAAGCCTTTCAATATTCAAATGCGAAACTTGAAAAAAATCGGTGTATAATGAAGCTAAAATCGTTAAAACACCGAATATCGGGAGGTACTGTTATATGGGGGCTATACGAAGACGTGGAACTGCATAGACAATTTTCAGCCATAGGCTGTAGTATCCATTACGAACTTCAAATACCAAATTTGATACAATTCCGGTGAATAGTGTCGCTAAAATCATCAAAATACCGAATATCGGGAGGTACTGTTATATGGTGCTATACCAAAACGTGGACCTACGTGGCCTATCTTCAATACGAAAAGTTCTGGAGACAAAATATATATTGCATACAATTTTATCAATCTACTTCATTTCGTTAGGAAGCTAGAGTCATTTCGACATAGAATTTTACGCTGAAGTTATGCCAACAACGGTTTATTCGCAATATTTTTTCTTACAAGAAATTACGTTAAAATTGTCAATAATCGTTTCTGGCTTTGGAAGTAGTTCAATCATTTTTAAATTGAAATTTAATAATAAAAATGCGACATTTTTTATTTTTAATTATTTTGAAGAATTTGTTTTTTTACTTCATTTTTGCCATTTCTCATTGAGAAACAAAAAAAAAACCAGCGACAAAAATAAACGAAGGAACGAAACCAAACAAATAATAACAAAAAATTACAAAATTAAACTTGAAAAGAATGAAATACAAAACAACAACAAAAATCATTTTTGTCACCACATTATTTAAGGTGGAATCAGTGAGCACTGGTTTTATTTTGTGTTTTGATTTCATTACAATTTCTGCTGTTGTTGTTGTTGCTGTTGGTCCGGCTAGAAGAAGAAAATCAGAGCAAAGTGTATTCTATAAATGTCATTGAACGTTGAAGTATCAGTAAGCAGTAGCAGCAGCAGAAGAACGGCCTAGTATTGGTAGCTAGTAGTACAGTAACTGACAACATTCATCCATCGACGTCGCCGCCGTCACCATCAACAACACAATGAAAATCGTTGCCGCCGCCACAACTGCCGTATAAACCGAATTCACTCAAGTGAACATGTGTGCTGTGTGTTATAGTTAAGAGAAGAAATAAATATGAAAAGGCACGAAAACACTTGAAATGTTATTTACTATTGAATAAGAACAAGAAAGCTACAACAATAACAACAACAAAAACACGATACGTGCATCGAGCTGTAAAATAATTTCATTTATTGTCTGCATGAAAATTGTAACCCGCTCATGAAACGCTTGAAAGGGGACATGAAAAATAAACACTGACCACATCTAGCTGTAACCAACCAGACTCTAGTTTAATGACCTTATAAAGCACAGTTGTATTTATTCTAAACTATGCGGGGTGGTTGGTTCTAAAATAGCATAAAAATGCTAATAAGGTCACAATAACCCATCAATAAACCAAAGAAAGGTCAATAAGGTTGACAGCAATACGTAATGTGATACAACTGATATCAGTGTTCTCACTCTCATGTGATAACGTGAAATATAGCTGACATGGCACCACCACCACCACCAACGTCGTAACGTAGGCGTAACGTGCATGTGTCCAAATGCTGCGAGGGGAATAAATAATTATACTGTAAAGGGAAATTTCATGGTTGACAATACGAACTACGGCTGCTGTCAACTACGAAACCTGCCGGATTGAAGATGCACTTGTTTTACAGTTGTAATCACAAATTGCTACCGCTTTCAATTTATCTACTAAAGTGAGGGAAATAGGAAATTATTTTTACAGGAAGCCTATCTCTAGCTTGAGGTCACATAAAACTTATTTAGATAGCTTTGCGTTGTACGTTTAGATTTTCGAAATCTACTCGATCTCAAATATCAATTCCTAGCCTATACTTCAAATAATATCTGACTGGCATTTGAAATCATGTGAATTTAATAGTCTAACCGTGATCCTATCAATAAATGTTTAGCCCTACTTTAGCTCATTGCTGTGGATATATAGATATTTCAAAATCTACAACACCTTCAGAATTCAGAAAAGGAAAAAGTGTAAAATTTAACAAATGTATGTCTGAGATGCATTTGATATATATTTCCCCAAAAATCATTGTTCAGAGTGCACATAACGGCTGTGGAGGATAAAACTAACAAATCGAAAAACTGCAACCAACTTCAGACTGCTGTCATTTCTGGCCACTCGACCGACAGCTGTTAAAATTATTCCAGTGATAGCTTATTATATTGTTTACAAGCGCAGAATAGCATTTTAGTGAGAATTTTCCAGAAAAAAAAGTTATTCGCGATGGAATTCAAGCGTGATAGTGTGATTTCTTTATATTTGGCTGGAAAACCACAAGTGGCTATCGTTAGAGCAATCTAGCATTTAAATGTGAAAAAATCATTGTGTCTCGTACAATCGCTCGTTACTGTGATGCTGGTAGTGTGGTAGCTGAACATATCGCAATATTGCATTCGGCAAATATTGAAAAAAGAGCTCGGGGTAAAGCCATTGCAGCTCCAAAAAGTGCAAGAACTTACACCGCAACAGAAAAAAAATAGACCCAAAAGAGTGCTTCGCTTTGCGAATGTGGTGAACTGCCGAATTTGGTGTTCTCTGATGAGAAAACATTCGTTCGCCCAGCAGTTTGTAAACAATCAAAATAATTGTGTTTACTTGCCAAAGAGGTCAGCTGAAAATGTGCACCTTCGGTTGGCCACCAAAACTCAAGCGCCGGCCATGGTGATGGTGTGGCCGCCGTAACAGCCAATGGTCGATCTCCGCTCGTATTAATCGACCGTGGCATCAGAATAAATGCCGAATATTATCGCGAAAATATTCTGGAGGATGTATTAAAGCCTTGGGCACGCAAATTTTTTGGCCGCAGACCTTGGACATTCCAACAGGACTCAGCACCATCGCACTCAGCACGCGCCACCCAAGAATGGTTACAAAATGAGGTTGAAGGCCATAATTCGTGCCAAAGGTGACCAATTCAAAGAAATCTAAACTTAAATCAGCGCGAGGCAGAGAGCTGTATTTTATTGCATTCACTGAGTGTTGTGTATATTGAGAACAAGCGTACGTTCTCTAACGCCAACCTGCATTGAAGAGAAGATGGCTCCGAAGGTTTACACCACCTCGAACACCAACGCTCGCATGCTTATCAGAAATATGATCTCTTCTAACATTCCACTTTTCATGTTAATGCAAACTAATTTGATGTGTGGCCAAACCACTTAATGGAAACTAGTGGCACCTTTACCACCGAAGTATGGCATAAAGCATTACTAATACTTGCTCTAGAATTGAATGCAATATTCAGAATCTACAGAACACAAAACTATTCGATTTTTTTCTTATCAATTGCCTTCCGACTGCTATTTATGTTTTCTATGATTAATTATTGGTTTTAAGACAACTAATGATTAGAGACGACATAGTAATTATGGCATAACATCACAGAGCATGTATCATCTTTGCCTTTGTCAATAAAGACTTGAAAATTGAATAGGCTTCATGATACCAAATTTCGATATTGATAACGGGAAGATATTTTTTCGAAGCTTTTTATCAGAGTTTAATTTACTTTAATGGGATTTATCTGAATGTAAGACATATGTAATTGTCACACATTGATAAAAAGTGAGGTGAAGTAAACCTGCTATGGCAAAAATAGCTCAACACAAAAATATTACGGACTGCCGAAATCCGATTGAGGTCATGTTAAACGTCATACGCCCAGCACATCATACACATGTGAATGTAAAAAAATTGCCACCTGAAGTTTAAAGATCTACAACAATAATATGGCAACTATAGAATAGCAAACTTATTGCAAAAACCCAAACGGTATATTTTGTTACGGTACGTTACGTTTAATGGGTGACTAATTTCAAAGAGATGGCGATGAAATGCCAATCACTGTTATCCGGAGGCTCTCTTCGCACACATTTGACAACTGCGGCAAATCAAATGTTGTTCGATTTCTAATGGTTAGGATTGATAATTCTCACAGTTTGTGTCACATTAGATGGAACAGCTGATTTATATACAAACTTTTTTTTTGATTGGTGATTTGTAGTAATTAGATTGAGGTTTTGTGGGTTCACTGATATTTTTTTGTTTTGGTTTAAATGGCATTCCCACACATTTGTTTTTTTTTTTTTGTTCTCGCGTACTGGTTTCTTCTTTTGTCCCGTATTTACTTGCAATACCGCCTCATTAAAGCAGAAGAGCAGGGAGAACAAACAGAAATTTAATAAAACAAATATTTTAATTTGTGTTTTCTTCAAGTCAGCTTACTGCTTACTGGTGTGTGCCCGACACGACATACCTATGCATGTCCGTCCGTTCGAGTGTTCGCCCGTCCATCCCGCACATTCAGCCAGCTAGCCAGCCGTATACCACAAAACAGTTTCGACAAACACCACAGCTTTTTCTTATGCTGTTATTTTTTTAATCGATTAGATTTCTTTCTTCTTCATTTGCTTTTTCGTGTTCACGGCAAGAAATCGAATTGAGTGACGACGGCGGTGGAAGAAGAGCAGCAGCCAGTAAATACAAAAATAATAGTTGTTTTACTAAATCGAATGAAGAAATCCAAAGCCAGTGGGGCTTACAAAAAACACTGCGTCGTCCGTCATATGATATCAATCAATTTTTCTTGGGGTTCGGTGGGGTTCTTGGTGCAGCCTTGTTACTTAATTTCCCATTGAATATTCGTTAGTAATTCATGAAAATCGTTTGGCCGCCATTGTTGATTATATTTTACTCCGATGCGATGTGAATGTTGCTTGCGTTTAGATTTGGTTGGTTTTGTAATGTTGCTTGCTGGTCTGATTCAGAAAAAAAGAAGAAGAAGAATTGTCGTGTCAGCCAGTTTTTGGGTTTGTTTGCTTTTTTTATATTTCCAGAATAAAATGCGACGAACGCCGATTGTAGGAACACAGTTGAAAATGTTGCGGCGCACTTGGAGAGCACGTAGTCTCCACCATCTAGCTCTTTGTCACTACTTTCTGTTCGAAGAACTCCGCCTCTGCTTAGTTGTAGTAACAACAACAACAGCAGCAATGAAAACAAAACAACAAATATTTTTTTCTGTTGTTGACGGTGCGTCAGAATGTATCTATGCTGGCTGGCTGGCTGGCAATGTGATGAGCTGTGAGCAGCACTTCGATGGATGTTGATGATGACGTAGACACTGAATTGAGTGTTGTATTGAGAATACCAACAGCGTTTTGTTTTCCTTAAAATTTATAAGTATAGGTATAAAAATTCTTGAAATAATTTTAACCCAAATCATTTGCATAGCCGTGAATATTGGTATTCAAACCTGGCAAACCACCTTCAATTTGTCGGGCGGACTCTACTAGAAAACGGCATCCAAAGAACCTTCATCATTTGTTTCAATAAAACATTTAACAGCTGTCTTATCTTATTGGGAGCAGAGAGTAACTGAGAGATGACACATTGTACTGTTATAGAGTAATAGACGGCTCATACATATCCCACCACCACTGCAGTCCACTTACTCTCCCCCCTTTAATAATAGAAAATAACAGATATAATTGACGCCGCCGCTGCCACCGTTGTCGTCGTCGTCGTCGTTGTTGCCTCGGCCGCCAACATTTGTTGTTGCAGTTGGGAGAAGATTTTCTGGTTAGTTGGTTAAGGGGTTGTGTTAATAGGCATTGGCGTGGCTGAGGTTTGTATTTCTTTTGCTTTTGAGCATTGTTGTTGTTGTGTTTGCACCTTCTAATTTTTTTTCTTCAACTGGCTACCAATTTTTGTTTGTTGTTGTTGCTGTTTTTATTCAACGAAACTTTTTGTTACTATTTTATGTATACAACACACACGCCTCATGGCTAATACCAGATTATGCCAAATATGACGTTTTCATTCACGGTACTGTCTTCTTCATCATTACACTGCAGCGGGCAGCATAACGAGCTTTGGATACGTAATATCTGTGTATGTTGGAACTCACAGAAAGATATTGAAAGGGTCCCCCTCCCTCACACAATTGGGCACAATTTGTTAATTAGAAAATGGAGGGTGAGCCCGTGGTTGATACTTTAAACAGGGGGATCTTCAAGTATTGTTACTGCATTTATTTCAGATTTTTTATGGATTTTATTTTTAACACTGTTTTTCCTACACCGAATAATGAATCAATTTCATTTCATTTAATTTGTTTTCGGAGCAAAAGTATCCGATACACTCACGCACATTCTCCAAACGAAATGAATGAAAAAAATCAAGGAGAAATCAGAAAGCAAAAATGCGGAGACAATATTAAAAGCGATAATGTTTGATGACGATGACGGCGTATTTAGCAAAGACACGACCAACCGCGACCAAGCGACCGACCGGTAGAAGAAAAAATGATTTTTTCTTTGCTTTTTGAAACGAAGGCAACGATGTTTGAGCACTTTGATAGGTTGTTATTGTTGTACCTTTTTTGTTTTATCTAGATACTATTTTAAGGCCGGTTTCTTTTTATAGATTTTTCAACGAAGCATTCCGAATTCTTGGCATTTTTTTTCTTTTTTTTATTCAAAAATTACTTTGGAAATAAGAACCTTTTTCTTGGTTGGGGATATTTTACAATAAATATTATTTCCTTAATGGAATGGTGAAGAAAATTTCACGCGCGTTTCCACATTTTTTCTTTTGCTCATATTATACAACTCCACATTATCAATTAAATTAAACAACAATGCAAATTATACAAATCTTCAATTTGTACGAAACGTACCACATTCATATAAGAAGAAACAAAATCAAAATGAATTAAAAACACAAAAAAGGTTCGATTTGTCGTCGTTCACACAATCCCAAAGTATTATAAAAAAATTGTATATTTGTCGATATTTCTTTTTAGTTTTCTTTCAATTTATTTTTTTTTTTGTTTTCTACTTCAAACAGACATTTACACAGACAACCATTGATGAGTGTAGCAAACGAAGCACTGAATGTTCGAATACCGGGAGAAAAGCCAACAAGTTAAAAAAGAAATCCCCTCGCACAAACAAATCAAGCGGCAACACCATGTGAGAGTTGGTTGGGCAAGGTTCTCTCACACACATGTGGCTGGTCTGCTCTCAGTCAGCCAGTAAGAGAAAGAGAAACAGAGTAAAAATGCCCAGAGCACAGTGATAAACAATCAACAACAACGGCAGTCCCCCCATAACACAACAACACTTTATACACGCACACAATTTCAATGGGAGAACTAAACGCGGGAGAAAATCCCCAATGCAACCCCACACCAAGAGAGTCACTGTAAAACAAAGGAGAGGGTAATGTTAAGAGAAATAATAATGTATTTTTTTTGGAATAATTTTAATTAGATATTTTATAAATTCATTTAGCAAAGAAAATACAATTTATAATTTCCAATAGGGAAAACCCGCAAAGCGGCACGTTATTGAATCGAAAATTAAACGATTAAGCAAATGTAATCAAGTAATCTTGTTAACCCGAATAATTTGGAATTACCCTAAAAAAATTGTTCTTTTTTCTTCTTTCGCCTCACATGTGTTACTAATGTTGGAGTTCGTTTTTGGTTTTCTTTTAGTCCCCCACACACATTTTTTGTTCTTCCTATAAAGTTGATGTGTTTGTTGTTTACTGTGACTCTTGGGACAATCTTAATGAGAATCACCATGGTTTGAACAGTGTGGGCTTAATGCATTATAACGGTGTAGCGGTTGAATCAAAATATACAAACGAGAATCATTAAAATATTCGGACAGAAAAAACACAGCTGTATTGGCAATAAGTGAACTATATCCGAAGGGGAAAGCTGTTGAAAAGCAATTTTCAATTACAAAAATCTATTTTGACAACTCGTCTGATGCAGAACGAGAATGTAGACCTGAGTAAGAGTCAACTTCCGGATTTTTTATCTTCCACAGCAAATCTGATTTGTTGGTTATCAGCCTAAAGTAATGTAATTTATTTTGTTACTCCAAAAGTAGTACTAATCCTACACATTTACGTAAATACATGACGTCTTTCGTGCATGTCAATTTAACTTTGTAGAAGTGAAATTTTTTGGGTTTATATATTTCGTAATATTCTTCCCGACAAAATATTGCATATCAACAGGACCTTCTTCTTAGAGACTTGTAAATACACAGGATAGGAAATTTGAAAAATCTTAGCAGTGTTATGATTCCCAAACGACATAGTTCAAATCAACGATTCATTGAAAAGAGCGTGTGAACCAGCTGCGTCAAAATCATTCATTTTTAACTGATATACGAGTAATCGAAAAATCAACCGACCGGCTGTCGAGTGAGCTTACCGAAACGAAGAGACAACATATTAGAGAGAACAAAAGGAATCGGCTCTTACAATTATACAAGAACCAAAATAAGCAGCTTTGAACGAATTTGAGCTGTGGAAGATAAGCAATGAACTAGTTTATCTTTCGTACTGTTGTTCAACCAGCAGTGATGAATGGAGTTACAATGCAGTTAGTTGTATAACAATGTTACTTTTACGCAGAGCTCTGAAAATCTGGCTCGAATTCGACTGAAGTGGTTTGGAAATTTTCAATAAATAAACGTTCTGTCATAGGCCAATTACAACGTTGCGAAACATCAAAATACCGAATATAAGGAGGTACCATTATAAGGGGTCTATACCTAAACATGGACCTGCACAGACAATTTTCTGTCATAGGCTGTATTATCCATTCCGAACTTCAAATGTCAACTATCCATTACGAACTCTAAATACCAAATTTGAAACAATTCCGCTGAAAAATGTCGCTAAAATCATCAAAATACCGAATATCGGGAGTTACCGTTATATGGGGGTTATACGAAGACGTGAATCTGTACCGACAATTTTCTGTCATGGGCTGTAATATCCATAATTCAAATACCAAATTTGAAACAAAGTACCGAATATCAGGAGGTGCCGTTATATCAGATACAAAATTTGAAAGAATTCCGGTGAATAATGCCGCTAAAATCATCAAAATACCGAATATCAGGAGGTACCGTTATATGGGGGCTATACCAAAACGTGGACCTACATGTCCCATTTTCAATTACAAAAGTCCTGCAGACATAACATACATTTGAGTAAAATTTTATCAATCTACTTCAATTCGTTCGGAAGCCATAGAATTTTATGCTGATCAAGAATATATATACTTGTGGGGTCTAAAATGTATATTTTGAAGTTAATATACCCTCCATACTCAACCATATGATTTGGCTGAAAGCTATTATGAAATTATATTTTCTAAACTATATCATAGTTTAGTAGAATTAAGAAAAAGGACAATGCACATTGATCTCCTTAATAGTTTGGTTTCTAGAATTTTCCTGAATGGTTAACATTCTGAATTTTAAAGGTTACCATCTAACATTGATATCTTTGCTGTCTTTTCCTCCCGGCCCACATTGTTTTTTTTACTACTTTCGCCAAAAAATTCAAGGAGGGAAATTTAAGGTAAGAACAAACAAATTTGATGTGTTGCCATGGGGTTTAATAGATATAATTGTGTTCACACAAGGAATGGAAAATGATAATCTCTCAAAATCTTTTATTTAAAAATGAACTTTTTCACGGCAAAAATATTGTTGTCTCTATTAAAAATCCAACTACGTTCCTACCGATGGTGGAAAAATATGCTAAATTGTATATCTCATTTTACTCCCTAGGGAAAAGGAAAACCACCTTTAAAATTCAAGACCAATTTTATTCAAAGCCTAAACTCAATCAAAATGTTTTTTTTTTTTTTGTACAACTCACAATCCCGTTAAACGACTCTAATACTGAAGCGCATACTGTATTTCATTTGTGAAAGCAAGCAATGTGTTGGTGCACTCAATAATCAAAATGCGAGAATGAGCATAGCTAAACGAGAGAGAGAGAGAGCACAAAACAGCAAAAGCAATAATACCGAAAATACATACATGTGAGAACCATCTATATGCTAAACAGTACACAAGGGTAAAATATTAAAATTTTAAAAGGGAATTTGTTAATAATAAAAACCAATAGTAACTTAACATACTATTCGTGTATATTTTTGATATGGGGGTAGATAAATTCCGGCAATGGGTACAAATTTCGATTGGAAGCTATCGGCTATTGCTCGGTTGTGTGTTTCAAAGTCAAATGAAAACTGAAAAGATCTTTGAGACTCGAGTGCAATTCCAAACATGACGCCCTTATTGAGTTTTTGTTTGCGCTATTTATTAATTTACTGATGTTGATTATAATACACCCGCTCCAGCAACATCCATGCCATTGTCCGCCTCGGCCTCGGCCTCGTCGTCGTCATAGTCGTCACATGCAATTCAATTGTGAATCATTCGTTATTCATTATCATCAATGGAATTGTGTAATTTTGTTTTTAGTCTTTAGGAAAATTACCATGTTTATCAAAAGCAAAGAAACTTTGGAAAACATTTAACTAGAATAGAAAGTGGAATTGGGTAGTAAAGAAATTCAGGTTTGTCGCTTCTTGTTTTACATTGTT